GAGGAGGCATGTGCTGGCTTCCCTCTGGGGAGGGAGAATCCTGGGAGGAGGCAGATGCAGGGGACTCTCTGTTGCCACTGGCACCCTGCCCCCTGTCCGCACTCCTCGCTCCCCAGACCCCACTCCCCTGTATCCAGCTACAGAACTCTGTCCCCTGTCCCCACTGGCACCCTGTCCCCTGCTGCAGAACCCTGTCCTCTGCCCTCCCAGCACCCTGTTCCCTTTCCCCTGGCCCCCAGCCGCAGAACTCTGTCCCCACAAAACGAATAATTATAAATGCTTCATTTTAGATTTAAATAGCATAAATAAAAAACAGACCATTTATTTCATAACTATAAACACATTTTAATTTTATATATCGCATAATTTAAAAATAAACTGTTTATCAGAGTGTGTAAGTAAGGGATAGGGATAGCAAGTGATGGACAGGAGGAGAATAGAGAGGGCAGGGCTTCAAAGAAGGGGCAGGGTGGTAGATCTCCTCCTGTTCTGAGATTTAAAAAGTGATCTTGGGTGTAAAAAGGTTGGAGTACAGTAAACCAAGAGAACCCTTCTCATCTCCCTGCCACAGAATGCAATGCACATAAGACATCCCATTTAATTCAAAAGGGCTTCTCAGTGCATGAAGTTACGCCACTGTCAAAGTATTTGATGAGATGAGTCTTAAGCAGGAGACAGAAAAAGACAGAATGAAATCTGGGCCTCATTCAAGTAAAGGACAGCTTTGTTAAGGGCTGCAACGAGACCAGAATCTTACCAATGTACACAAATCAGACTGCAACACAAGGCCATGTAACAATGGGAGAGGGGGAGGGGAAATCAATGGGAGTTCTGCATCAACACTGAACACAGTATTTGGGCATTTTAGTGACGGTCGAAAAATGAATTGTGTGCCCTCAGAAAAGAAATATATTATGTTGCATGAGTGGAGGGAAAGTGTGGCAGTTTGATTTAAACCGTGTTCTAGTACCTCCTGAAAAAAAAAAGGATCAACTTAAATACAGAAATACAAATAATCAATTTGTTACCTGTTCCATGTTGTATCCATGTTTCTCTTTAGCAATGGCAATGTATTCATCCACTGAAAAATAAAAATAGGTCCTGAAGACATTTCACACATGGGCCTTGTCTCTTTCCAGTCTACAAAAGGATATAAAATCCAGTTGCTCTCAGTCTAAACAGTGAGGTGGTTAATGATTAATTATCCATATTATTCTCCAATTGCTCAGTAACAGACATCACACCCCCTATAAAGAACTCAGGTCGAAGAATTAGTTATGAAACCCCTAAAAAGAACCACAAGGTATCCTCTTCCAATAGTTTCCCAATAGGCTAAGTTGCAAGAATCAGTTCATAAGCCTGCATTCTTCAGTTGTGGGTTTCAACCAGGCAAAAAGATATTTAATTTAGTCTTGGGTGTAAAATATCTGTATTTTTGGAACAGAACAGTACCATTACAGAGTTGCAAATACATCAGTCTTTTTTTTTTTTAAAGTAGAATTCATGCACCTAAATATCTTGTTGCATGTAGTCTTACAAAGCTCATACCAATCTAGTTCATATGAATTTGTGATTCTTCCTAATACCGTGGATCTCGTATTATATAGCACAATTCATAGAATCTTTTGAACTTTCCTATAAAGAGCTGTTGTGTACCTTTTAATACTAACATCTTACAATAAGTAATCCACTGCAATCACCTTTGCAATTTTTCCAATTTCTTACATCTCAGTAATTTTCATCTTGGACCAAAACATCTTCTGCTAGGTGTTCTACATGTCATATAACCTGGGACAAAACCTAGACTTCTTTTTAAAACATGGTGACAACTGCTTACTTTACATCAAATTGGGCCAAATTCACTGCTGATATTACTCATGCATCCTAATTCTGCCCCTTTGTGTTCATGCACCACAATACACTGTCTTTAGGGACAATCACCATTTGTTCATTGTAATAACCATAGAGGATTCTTGCTTCACTTCATGAATAGAACAGATGGCAAAGCAGGTAGTTTATACTATTGTGATTTGCAGCTGAAGTTGATAGGTGGTTAGTAAAAGTGGCAAGGGGACTGCTAAAAGAAAGGATAGGCACTGCCTTGCCTGAATTCTGTTCTTCGGCTGCATCACAGGCTTTTTATATTCTGGACAAGTTACTTAACTCAAAAAAACTTCACAATTATCAATTATTTGTTGGTTCATTGTAGGGATGTGAAGGACTAGTTCCAACCCCTGTCCCCTTCCCGCTGCCTCTATCAGATAGAGGAAGTGGGGGGATGGGCCCGCAGAGAAGAGGGTGCACTTCAAAGTGGTAGTGTCATGTGAAGCCTGGGGTAGTGTTCCCAAGTGACCACGCTGCACAGAGCCCAGGGTCAGCGGGGGAGTCCCTAGCTGACCCCAGGCTCCAGCCGGCACTTTTGCCTTTGAAGTGTAGCAACAGCCAACATTAGTAGCCCCTTAATTTTTACCTAGATAGCCATATCTCAGCTTCCCATGTAAAATTGGGAGAATACAATTCTCAGCACAGAGACACTGAACAGATAATTTCATTAATGTTTGTGATGCAACTAGCTACTATAGTGATGTGGAAAAGCCCAAGAGGAAACCATTCCATATTCAGTACAACTTGGATGAAATGCAGTAAATAAAGCAGCGGCCACAAACTGGAAAAAAATACTGTACAGCTGCATCCTTCCCCATGCACCACCATCCATCCTGTCCACTGAAAGACACAGCAGTGCTGTCAAAATTATGTGATCACATCCCATTTAAAGAATATGTCACAATCCATGGGCACAAGTGGGCAGACTTAAGGTTGCACAGGAAATCTTAATTAAGATGTTTCCCAGCTTGTGTGTTTGACTTTGCACCATTAACTTTTCTCAGTTTAGATATTTTATGCACGATTCATTAAATATTTTGCCTTAAGGCTCAACTAGTTCTAGAGACAGTATTAAGCTTTTGGGAATGCCAATCACTTGGGTAAAGGATTGCTGCATTAACTGGCTATTGGAGTGTGGAAAGATCTGAAGTGCCAGATACTATTTAGCCATTTTTATCTTTAATTTCTTCTCCTCAGAGATGTTAAATAATTTATGGAGAGGGAGAAGACTTTAATATTGCTACAGCAAGGAAAACCCACATTTTTTTAAACCATTCATTAAGGTCTTTTCTATAAATTGCAACCTAGGACAGGAAAAGAGGTGACCATATCAACAGCAATATTATTAGAACTTCATCACTGTTTCCCCACATGCTAAGTTCCTCCATAAACTACTAGGCATCACACCATGGCTCTGAAGGACAGTAGGCATGTAGTGCGTGTGTGCGCACTGAGGAGGAAGGACAAAGGGAAGGGTGGGAAGAAAGGGGACAAAAACCAATAGAAGAGCAACATTCAAATACTGAAAGGACACATTGGGTGCAGGAGGAGTTGCAGTCCACTGTGTCAATAAAGAAGGAAATGGCAAGCCATGAATGAGGCCACTCGCTTTGCTCTGCCTGCCATTTCTCGTCTAAGTATCAGTTGACTCTTGCTTTTGACCTCAAATTCTGAGCATTCAGAGATGTTGAGTAAGTCTAGATTCTTTGCTCCTATCTTGTAGATATCGCCCTTTGCATTAAGTAGGGCCATGCTATTGCTTATAGACTTGAGTCATTTATTGGATCCTTTTAGACTTGACTCCTCAATATTACCGGATGCCTGAATTGCCACAGGTAAGACTTACACATGCCACACAAAATACTCTCCCATCTTGGCCTGGACACAATATTGCACACCATTCTGGAAGACGTGATCCTGGCCACAGTGATCCAGGTATTTGTGACCTCCAAGCTCAGATTGCAACTTGTCTCTGGGATTTAAGTCACTCGTTCCGAAAAAGCATCAATTGGTACAAAAGAAGATCAGCTCCTCTGCTTAGCAACACAGATCTCCCTGAACACATCTTGCCAGTGCTCTCCTCTCCATGCTGTTTCCCTGTTCAATACAGAATCCAGGTCCCCTAATCTCCATCTCAAAATAGACAAACCACTGTGGAACTGTCCCTAACTACCTGAGGGTATGTCTACACTACCCTTCTAGTTCGAACTAGGAGGGTAATGTATGCATACCGCACTTGCTAATGAAGCCCGGGATTTGAATTTCCCGTTCCGAAAAAGCATCAATTGGTACAAAAGAAGATCAGCTCCTCTGCTTAGCAACACAGATCTCCCTGAACACATCTTGCCAGTGCTCTCCTCTCCATGCTGTTTCCCTGTTCAATACAGAATCCAGGTCCCCTAATCTCCATCTCAAAATAGACAAACCACTGTGGAACTGTCCCTAACTACCTGAGAGATTATCTCCCCTGCTGCATGACTTCCCATTCAGGGCAGATTTACATGAGGGTGACGTGGGTGCACAAGAATCTGCTGACTGACATTAGCCAAGTTTTCCAAGGAGGAGTTGTGCTAAAAAGACAGTGCAGCCATATTCTAATGGGCTCTTTATGGAACCACTGCGCTACCTACATCTCTTTCTAGCATAACCACAGTGATCCGAGTGCTGTTGCAGCACAGAGGAATCCAGCCTACTGCGTCTAAACACCTCAACTGGAGATTACTACAGAATGACTAATTTGGGCACCAAAGCTAGTTCAGGTATAGTCTACACTCAGACTGCTGCAATGGCGCCTCTGTAGTATGGATATTACCTACACCGACTCTCCTGTTGAAACAGGAACTCCACCGTCCTGCGAGGCGATGGTTAGGTTGACAAGAATTTTTCCAGCAGTCTAGTACCTACACTTTGGGTTAGGTTGGCCTAAGCTACATCTCCCATGGGTGTGGCTGTAGCTGTAACAATGTAAGCTCCCAACAAAAGACAAGCCCTAAAGCTAATTCAGGTATGTCTATACATGCTGCAGTCAGACCTCTGATTGCAGTGTAGACACACTGTAAGGGCTGGTCTGTACCACAAAGTTAGCTCAACAACACAGCTACCTCACATCTCTGACACTCACAGACACGTCAACCTAAGCTCCCGCATAGGCAGCACTAGGTGGACAGAAGAGAATACAGGCAGTCCCCGACTTACGTCGGATCCGCACTTACGAACGGGGCTCTCTCGCCCCGGAGTTCGCAGGCAGTGGTCTGCCACCTCGACCTCCGGGGCGAGAAAAGCTGCTCCCGGTGCCCCTGGTCTGCTGGGGACCGTCTCCAGCAGACATGGGACACCGCGAGCAAAGCCGCAGCCGCGGCGGGTCCCGCACCAGAGCAAAGCCTCAGAGGCGAGGCACCCCGCCGCTGCGGCTTTGCTCCCCGTGTCCCTGGGCTGCTGGGGGGGGGGGGGGGGGGGGTGGCCGGAGCTGAGGAGCTGCTCCCGGACCTCGGACCTCTGTGTTTTTAAACTGCCACCTGCCACCTCCTCCCCCCACAGGGCGTGCTCGGGCTCTGCTGTTCTCTCTCCCCTGCGACCCCTCCCCAGCCTGCTGAGGAAGTGGCAGAGTTTAATCTGGTGGGGACTGTCAGGGTTTCTACTCTCTCTCCTCCTCGCCCGAGGCACAGTTGCTCTGCCCCGGGCTTCCTGGAATCAGCGGCTGATCAGTTTCAGCAGCAGCTGACTTGTGGTTCTTAAGTTGAATCTGTATGTAAGTCAGAACTGGCGGTCAGTTTCAGCAGCGGCTGAATCTGGACGCCAGTTCCGACTTACAGACAGATTCAACTTAAGAACAAACCTACAGTCCCTATCTTGTACGTAACCCAGGGACTGCCTGTACTAACATTGAGGTAGAGATCACCTCTCAGAGATGGATCCAAATACAGCAATGGAAGAACCCTGGCTGTTTCTGCAGCTGGGCCACTGTAGCATTTCTAGTGTAGACCTCGCCTATGATCCACTAACAAAATGCTCTTTTGCCCATATAACACTGTGATCTGGTCGACCTTACAGGGTTTCATACCTCTGAGGGACATGGTTATACTGACCTAACCCCTAGTACAGACAGCACTATGTCAGGAGGCTTTGCCTGTTGACCTAGTTACTGCCTCTGAGGAAGGCAGATTAGCAATACTGACAGAAGAACTGTCTCCCCTTCAG